GAGCCTTCAAAAGGTTCTTTCAAAATTTTTATCCTTTTTTTGAGACTTCGAACACATTTGGAGCATTTTGAAAAGCTACAGAACCTTTCGGAGGGTTCTGTAAACCTCCTTTATTTTTTTCAGAGTGCCAAAACCTACTGTCAACAGGGTTGTCATCATCCAGACACCACATCCAGGCATTCTGCAGACAGGCCTCTATCGTTCAGACTTGTTAACATAATTTAGAGTGATTCATGCTTGTCATGTTACGACATCTACGGCATACATTTTATTCTATTCTTTTTTATTCTCTATTAGCGTGCAATAGATTTGAACATATAGAATCATGCTTCTGTTTGTAGTCTATGGGAAATAAAATAGATTTTTCATGGTAATGTCCGATAAAAAGGGATTCACGTAAAGGCAGAACTTATTTACTTTATGCAACACAGAATCTTGTTAGATTGTGTATATTACTAGTGATAAGCACGTAAGTATATAGCTATCGTACAACGTCACTAGTAGATGATTGAAGGATGTGGAGTAGCGGACCACTACTCCAACATATACGTACAATCTTCGGATTGGAACTGCCTATGTTTGCATCTTTGCCACAATCTATTTATGTATGAGAAGTTCTTCCTTTGTGCGAACCACTGTTCATCGAATGATATTAGCTAGGAAAGAAAAATGATATTATTATTTTCTACATAACTACAATGATGACTATATGTGAACCATAGAGAATATCTCTGAATTAAGAGACAAAGTCTAAGAACAAGTCCTAGAAAAAGGAATCTTTCAATGGTTCGCTTTATTGAAAGATTTCAAGAAGTCATTCTCATGAATATCAATAAACATGAAATGTGTTGAAGGGTCCTATATGAATAGGTTATGGTTGCGATCATGACTTTCAAAAAGAAAACAAAAAAGAAAAGAGATCAATAGGCAGGTGGTCCAAGTACATACATCTTATATTCATATATCAAACGTTTGTACTTTTATTGTTACATAATCATCGCTATGTGAACGTGTCACAAATAGCTCTCAGTAATAATATAAAGGAGTCTGAATATAGAAGAAAAAGATGTATGTACGTACACAGATGTAGAGTGAATCTATGACACTATACAGAACAACGATATTTTTCAGATATCAATTATTTTTTGCTGAAAAGGTATTCTGATAGGCTGTCCTAACTGAATCCTTCTAGAGTTGTTGTATGGTAAATGATTATGAAATACCTTTCATTTGAAACAAGACAGATGATTGTATTCAATGTCTAGTGAAATGCTGTAAATCATGTCCACGTGACCATGATGGGTCGTGGTAGCTCTGATGTATATGACTTTTGTTGCGAGTGATATACAAAGAATTTGTTTCTCGACTATCATTCTTCCTTTGGAGTAATGATAGTTTGATTCATATTCTCTAAAGCCACCTGATGAGGCCCTTGAGCAAGGTCGAAACCAATAATTATTGTAACATATCTCATCAATAGATTTGTTTCAATGATAAATCGTAAATTCACAGTATGTGAAAAATTGAGGGTCATTTATAACACGTAGTAAAATAGAGATCAACATCTTCTATTTTCTTGTGTTGTTGTTGTTATTGTTGTGTTATGATGTAACTTGATATTCTACAAAATTTTGGAAATAATTGGTTTCTTTTGTTGTAGATTAAAGTTCTAATCGTTCGTCTATCATGATGCCAAAGAAAGTTTCATTTAACACAAAAAGTGTTAAAAAAAGGTAAATATTCTGACTTACTTCATTTGAGTGATATCCTAAACCTTCATGATCTTCAATGTCCTTTGTATTTTCCTTGTAGTTCAATCAACAGTGGATCCAAAAGGATCCTATGTTAAAATTTCTCGTCGGCGGCGTCGTTCTCGTGGTAGTCAACCACAACAGCAGCTACCCGATAACGAAATTTTATTCAAAGTTCAAGAGATGCAGGAACGACTGAATTTTGAAATTCGTCAACAGGTTGCTCTATCTGAACGTATGGATACTATAGTACGTCTATATGTCAATGAAGAACGAGCGTTACAAAAAGTACGCCGACAAGTAGATGGACTAATAGATACATGTATATTTTCGTGTTCTCCAAATTGGATAGAAATATATAAAAATAATATTATATCTGTTCGAGAAATAAATTCAATTTTGAATGCATTTAAAGCAGATCAACCTGTATCATTATTGTTACCATAAGATCTGAACTGTTTTGTGAGAAATGTTTCCACAATGGCATTAGATATAACATCCATTGATTTTGGAAAATCATGGGAAGTTTAAGAACAAGTTCTTTCAGATAAATGTTATTTGTAATGAAAATAAACTG